AAGTTATTTGGCTAAGGAGTTGGAGGGCTTAAGCTTGGATTTGCTAGAAGGAAAGTCCATCACACTATTGAGCTATGTGGATCACGAAATTGGACTCAAAGGGAGGGAAGGAGGGTTGGCCACGGCGAAGGAGTCTCAAGGTGTGAATGGAATCAACAATGGATAAAGATCATTGTGTGAACACACAAGGTGTGAAAGGAATTTCAAGTGTGAACACAAGGGGGGGATTTGAAGGCTAGATTCAAGTGTAGTTGTTGGCTTAGTCTTTTCCTTGTTTGTTAAGGTTTTTGTTTTCCTTGTTTGTTAAGGTTTTTGTTTTCCTTTTTCAAGTAGGATTTATTTTTCCTTAGTTGTTTTGTGTTTAGATTCGTGGGTCTATAAATAGGATTCCAACCAATGTTTTTTTCATTCAAGTTTCAGCAATCAAATACAAGTGTTTACAAGTTCAAGTGCACCTTTTGCTTATTCTCTCCTTTTAGGATTCGGAAGGTTTGAGTGGTCTTTTATCAAATAGAGAACGCGTCTAGTTGTGGCGAGCATCGATGATATCGATTGGCCTCTTCCACGGGTTCGAGATTGTTTGGAAGGTTTCATATACCTTCTGGCCCTGCTCACGAGTTCGGATTTGTTTGATCGATTCTGCAAGTATCTTTATTTTCGTGCTATTCAAGAAAGGATATGATTTTTGGTCCAAGTTCGAGGGTCTCTTCGAATTAGGGTCATATCAGTCACCACACAGGATATGAGCCAATGGCCGACTCTCTTGCTCATGATGGCTTGAACACTAGCCTTGCATCCCTCGTGTTGATTTTGGCATCTAACCATCAGTATCTTCATGTCGGAATGGGTTGTGTGCTATTCAAAACTTTGAGTCATTGCTTCATTGGCAATAGCGTGCCGCACCTCATTCTTCGTTGCAAATTGTTGGCTCTTCATAAAGCCAGTGAGTGGACCCCATACAGGCACCTCTAGCGGCTCCATATCGGCATCAACATACCAATCTTCATTTGGAATGTGATTGTATTACGGGATAGGTATACTGTCGCGAAACACTCATCACCGTCTGCGTATGAATCTGGATTGGAATGATCAGCACCTTCAAGAGGATCGAAGTTGTCTGCATTGACATCACTTTCCTCTTCTTCATCATCAGGGTCACTAACTGGACTTGGATGGACATCTTCCATCTGATCAAGATCATGAAATGCACCTTCATCAGCTCCGTAATGGTAGTTGTGGAAACTACCGCCGCCTTGGTAGAAGTTGTACTCAGGTTGATATTGGTAGCCTGCTTGTTGGTTCCCATCCGCCTGTTAAGCTTCCTCTTCATATGATGGGAAGGATTGATGACGACCTCCAGTTCTATCATGATAATCCTGGTATGAATGAGGGCCTTGGTACTCCTGGTGGGGATGATCTTCATATAACCCACCCCCACCATGGATACCAGATGTTTGACCATCTTCAGAATGACCTACACCGCATTCGACCGCCTCGGTGTAAACGTCCCGCCACGTCTGTTTGGATATCGATACACCATACGATCAACTCTTCTAGCGTCATTCATGCAGGTAACCTCAGTACACGTTTGATGGAGCTCTTCAAACATCGCTCTCATAGCGACCTTCATTTTATAAAAATTGTCACCGACGTAACGTACCCCCTTTCCAATCTCTTCCGTGTAACCATTCCACCGTAACCCAAGCGTGAACTTTTGGAATGCCATATGAAATAAAATCGTAATTAAGTTAGTACAATAAAAATCACAAATGACAATGAAAAGTAATACAAAACAAACTTACAAATTAACATTAATCGCAAAAACTAAAAAATGAAAGGTGCACAACTGAAATTTGGAGAAGAAGAAGGAAAGGAGTGAAGATTTGAGTTATTCGGGGCTGCCTTTTATAGGCAAAATTTACACTGAAAAATCGCATGGGGAGGGGTTTTAGTCTGCCATGCAGCCCCCACTCCTGCAACCTTCTGCATGTCGACATGTCGGATGTCGAGGGAATGAGGTTGAGGCACAAACCGCTGGGGGGGGGGGTGCGGTTTGTGCATCGACCTAATAAACCGCTTGCCTGCGGGTCGGTTTTTGTTGTCAACGCAGAATTACTCCCCAAGCATGCGGTTTGTGCTAGGGCAGCCACATGTACCGCTTCTTCGAAGAGCGGTTTTCGCAAAAAAAAAAAAACTCAAACTGCTCCTCTGGCATGTGGTTCCATAATAAACCGCCTCCTTGCAGTGTGGTTTTTCGTATAACCCCTCCACGGTGGTGCAATTTTTAATTAAGGGTGGTATATTTAGAATTTTTTTTCGATTTGGGTGGTAGTTTTGTAAATATTTTTAAAAAGTGGTAGTTTTGGATTTTTCCCATCAAATACATCAACAAAACCTTGATGCAAACGAGCTGTCAGCTATTTTGGGACATCCTGGTACTTATGTTGTGTCAGTACATTTGAAGTCCATAATGTTCTAGATTAACTATTCACACTATGTTATCCTCCATCATCTTATTGAATAGGATTGAACTCAATTATTTTGAGATCATATCCAGTATGTAGAATATTCTTTGACTAAATATAATTCCCGTGACTCACATAGAGGCAATACATTGTTCTGGATGTCTTATTAATTAGTACACCTCAATACATTTTGAAGAAAACCAACTAGGAACTAGCTCTGAGTTTAGGTGTGATTTCATCATTATTCAAAATGATATTTTATATACAAAACAAAAAACGACTTTTAGTACATATATAGGGGTTGTGAGACTCGCTTCGCCCTTCCCAGTCGTCCGTCTCATTCCTCACGATCTGGCGGTCTATAATAACCAGGGGTAAAAAAGAGAGGTGTTGCACAGCATCCGTCGCCCACTCCACTTATGATGTAATCCAGTTTTAGTAAGGGGAGAGAATTGATTCGGAAGATAAATCAACCACTTTCCTCGCAAAGCAACCGTTTGCCCGCCCCAAACCCTTTCTCCTCCATCTGCTTTGGAAAAAATCCATTTCACCGTCGCGGATCAACGTTGTCGCCTGCATTATCTCGCTCATTTCTCTGTTCAGTTTGAAGACTTGGTCGTTTCTCTGTTCAGTTTGAAGATTCGAGTCCTTGGGTCGTCCTACTTTAATTGAATTCCCAACTATTTAATTTTTTTTTGTCTGCTGTCATCCCTTACTGCGGCCGTGCAAACCATTGCAAGTGAGGTTTCTTTATACAATAAGTTTTTTTATTCAAAGGTGGTGTTATTGGTAGTGCTACCACTAAAGTGGTACTGGTAGTCGAAGTTGAAATTGGTGGTACTGGTATTAGTAGTCGAATTAGAAGTGGTACCACTAAAGTGGTACTGGTAATCAAAGTTGAAGTTGGTTTTACTGGTATAGGTAGTCGAAGTGGCAGTGGTACTAGTAGTGGTAGTCGTAGTTGGTGTTACTGGTATTGGTAGGGGTGTCCATTCGGGTTCGGTTTTTTGGGTTTACCCGAAACCGACCCGATTATATACATTTTCGGTTTTACGGGTTCGGGTTTGTTTCGGGTTTCGGGTTCGGTTTTGCTTATCGGTTTTTCGGGTTCCGGCTAAAAACCTCCAATGAATAGAACTCAATCTGTATTCTTAGGCGTTCGTGTTTTTGGGTTTCAGTTTTTCTTTAACCGAACCCGAACCCGATAAGGAATTTTCAGGTTTCGGGTAACCGGAACCCGCAAGTCCTTATCGGGTTCGGGTTCAGTTTTAGTGGTTTTCGGTTTCGGGTTTTCGGGTTTTTCGGGTTTCGGTTCGGGTAACCGAACCCGACCCGAACCGACACCCCTGGGTATTGGTAGTCGAAGGTCGTATTAGGCTTAATTAGTAGTTTGGTGTAGCACTGCTGAATGTTTTATGATGGTATCATTGTAACAATGTAGTTTTTATGTGGTAGAATCGGCGAGAACAAAGATTCCATTCTACGGACCGACGACAAAAGAACAACCTGCAAAAAAACCACCTGCTACTTATGAATCTCAATTCTGGAAATGCAAGTGATCCCATGTAATTAGTTTTGTTTTTCTTCACTGATCCAACAAATCTTGACAAAACCCTCTTACATGAGCAAAACACTTGTAAGAACTTGTAAATTCATCTTGATTTTGGAAACGCAAGTGACCCATGTTGACCTGTTTGTTGGGATGATAGATGATACCGCACTTGTAATTAAGACAATAACATTAGAGTTCACATTATAAATGTGTATGTACCACTAAAATTGTACTACCACTAAGCGTCTACCACTAGATTACTACCACTAAGAGTCCACCACTACTAGCGAACTACCACTAGCTAACTACTGGTACCATTCTTGAAACTACCACTACCACTACGAAACTACCACTAGAAAACTACCACTACTAACGAACTACCACTAGCTAACTACTGGTACCATTTTGTCTTGGCATTAGTTGTACCATTTAAAAAACAATACCAGTTCAAAGAAAATCCTAGCTGCACTAGTTAACCCTACCGAGATCGTTGGAAATCGCTATTGTTCTCCACGTTGATGTTGTCCATCTTTTCACAGTTTTCCGGAAGCTCTTCGTTAAGCAGGTCCTCCATGTCGAAAATGCATGCATCATCCACAATGAAAACATCATCACCATTCTCCCCCTCATCGTTGCTTGTGTATGGGATGTTCAGGTCGAATCCAAATGAACAAGTTTGTTCAGCTCCCACCCCATTTATGCCTTCGTCGTTGTTGATGTTTTCGTCCATTGTATGCTTGTGGCAGCATAAAGGTATTGCCGAGGAAGTGACGCAGGCAGTTATGGAAGGGGAAGAATCCATAAATGGAAGGGGAATAGACGCTCACGCTGCATAATATTTTTCCATGCATTTATTTTATATTTTCAAATTCTTTCCATTAAACTAGTTACACAAAAAGCCCTTGATGCATTGTGGATAATCGGATGCATAAGGTAGATGGACGGCTGGGAAGGGGACACTATCCAAGCCCACTTAGAGACATGCTAAAATAGACGCTTTATAACCATAAAGATGGAATTTACATAGTACTTAGAGGAACAAACTAAACAAAAATCAATTATGAACCCACGTGGCATAACTATGGTTTGCTTGAAAGGTACTACTATTACTATGAGCTCTGTGAATATAATAACATTTCTGAGTGAAATTCCATATTTTACTAACTCATATTTACACTTTCAATAAATATATTATATAAATTTACCCACTCTTCTCTACACCAAATCCTTTCTTAGTTTCATTCAACAAAATGAGTTTGTACGGAAGAAGTTTGAAGTTCCTCTAATGTTCTTCCCTTTGTTTCTGGCACCAACTTGGCAATGAACACAACAGCAGAGAAGCCTACCCCAGAGAAGATGAAAAATGTTCCTGTATTTAATTCCAAGACAACAAACATAAAATCCAGTTTAATGTCAAATAAATTTTCCTCGACACTACTATATCTCGTTAATCTGTAAATATTTTTTGTATCTTACCTGAAGAGCTCCATTGCATGAGGAAATTGAAGGAATAGGTGACAATCCAGGAGCAAGACCAGTGGATCAATGTCACTAGACTCCCAGCAGATCCCTTTATGTTTATCGGAAATGTCTGTAACAATCAAAGTACAAGAAATTCACGTCATATTTTTTTTTCGTTGGTTGTTGGCCAAAAGATTCGAACAAGGGCAATCCAAGAGATGGGTTTTTTTGGGTACCTCAGACATGATTAGCCAGGGCAATCCAGCCATGCCAATGGAGTAAGCAACAGTGAAACTCTGTCCCCAAGGGAAAAGACTATCAAATTAGTATACCTTTTGCATACAAAATATTGGTTCAAGATGAAGACTTTTTGTGTGTAGTTTTTACCAATACTCCAATGCAAGCAAGGGTTGGGGTGATATCCTTGGCAATGTGGAAGCTCTGAAGGCAAAATGATATTGCTATAAGCAAGGTACTTAGACACATTCCAGAGGCAGAAACCTGGAAAACAAAACAAAACCAGAAGTTTATAAACTCGTCCAGAAACAGTTCAACTCAATAACTTCGTATGAAAAAATGAGTAAGGCAAGGATTTCTCTAGGTACCAAAAGAAGTGGCCGCCTTCCTGACTTGTCTGTTAAGAGGACAGATACTAGTGTGATTGGGATCTGCATAAAAAATAGAAACAACAATGAGAACTTTGTTCTTCATTTTCTTTTTGGGCACAAGAAAAAACGTTTCAGATTTTTCTGATACTACAGAAAAAGGGGATTGTACCTGAATGACAGCCATTGATATGAGACCAATGTAGCTCGAAAACTCTGCGCCAAGATTCCATAACAGTGTCAGTTTTCATTCCATGTTGACAATATCTTGATCGGTTAATGACTTAATGAAGGTGATGATTAAAGTTAATTACCAGCTGCCTCAAAAATGGACCTAGCATAGTATGCAATAGCATTAGTTCCCCCAAATTGTTGGAAGAACATTAATCCCACACCAACCTGACAGATCAAATAAACGCAGATCACAATTAAGTCGCAAAGTAATCCTGAGTATTCCTAGATCAAACAGACTGAGTGTTTGAAGAACATGGCTTTCAATGCTTACAATAAGAGCATGAGCATATTTGAGCTGGAACAAGTCGAGAATTTTGCCCGATTTACGCCCTTGACATGCCTCAATCGACTCCTAAAAAAATGATTTAAACACAAACATTCGTGAGCTTTTAAGCATTAGAAATTATGAGGCTTTGCTTCAATTGAAAAGAGGTTCCATGAACAACGGTTTGTCACTCACTATGATATCCGCTGCTTCTTGGGAGATATCAACTTTCTTTCCCCTGAGTCGTTGCAGAGCCAATTCCGACTCCTCTTCTCTCCCAACTTTCGCCAACCATCTAGGAGACTCCGGGATGAAGAACAATCCCACTATGTGTAGTGCAGATGGCACAGCAGCTGAAATGCAGATGAAATAACAACTGGTCATGAGCACATAAAAGTACAATTTTCTCACAAGGTTTTAATTATGAATGTGATGATTACCTATCAAAGCCAAAGAGCGCCAGGAGAAAGCAACTCCAGCGAAGTACAGCATGGAGAAGCCACAACAAGTCATGAACTGCAGATGCACCACAAAAAGTTCAAGTAAAAACAACTTTCTGGTGACAAAATTCGACATTAATATATCCAATGCTCGTCGGGAAAATGTAAGGGGAATGGTTTGTATATTTACATGTCCAGCTGCCGTAAAGGCACCACGAATGTTCTTTGGTGTGATCTCTGCAACATAAACTGGTACCTGATACCGAAAAAATCTTGCCAAAGTTAGTTACAACAGAGGAGACAGAGCATGGTTGGGCAACTCAACTTTTTTTAGCATAACAATATGATCACCGAATTAAGAATTGGTAGCAATAGCTGAAGTGTAAGCTTACCACATAGCCAGTTATTCCAACTCCAACACCAATTGAAAGTCTGCCAAGATCCAACGTCCAAGAATCCTTTGTGAAAAAGTTAGTTCAGGTAAAAATCAGTTAGAACCAGAGGATAAACATGTGCAGATGGACTCAAGTGTAAGCTTTCTGTGAATCCTAACCTCTGCAAATGCTATGGCAAGCCAGCCCATGATGAAGAACAACTCAGACACCCACATAGTCTGTAGAACCAATAACATAATGTTGAATACTTTAATTAAAACTACAAATTATTGTAAAAGGATGATGATGATGATCCAAAGGGAGTTTAAGCTTACGCCTTTTCGGCCAATGAGATCAGCCATCTTCCCGTTTAGTAAGGAACCAATCATCCCTCCAATTGTCATTATCGAACCAAAAACTGAGTACTGCATCCAAAGATTTGATAAATTGAATGATCAACCAAAGGGATCGATATAAAAATTTTAAACAATTCGAGGACCATTTAGTAACTTACCTCTGCCACAGACAGATTCAGGTCTTTATTGATCCCATGCTCCGCCGGCGATGAGTAACCTGACTGCAATAATTAATTACCTTCAGTAAAAAATTTGTGAAATTACTATTTAAATTAAAATCATTGATAAGTTTAAAAAAGTTAGAAAGTGTAGCTGTAAAGATGAAATCTTTATTCAACATAAGAGTTGTCTTGTCGGCAAACAAAAGGCTGGAGTGGAGAGAAGACTTTGAGAGAGCGTTTTTAAGATTTTGATTAAGCTGGTGAATTGACATGGCGATGACCCATTCAGGCATTAACTAATTTTCACCAACATGTGGGCCCCATATAACGGCATTTGGCGCGTAAAGTTGGTTCACCTATTCCTCACCTCAAGTAGGGACATGACACGGCTGCGGCCCAACATCTCCACCAACAAAAGGGGCCTTATTAGGCCCAACACCCCCTATTTATTCACCTAAAGGCAAACTCCATAACGGTAAATGGCAATTTTTTTACCACCCCAACCACAAAGTAAAACAGTAAAACACTTAACATATTCCGAGTAAGATATGGTCTTGTCTAATTCAAATATGAGACCTAACTAAGCATGGAGGAAATGAGATGTTTATAGTTAGGTGCTATTCAAGCGATTCGAATTTGTGACATCTAAATTGAAACATGTACAGGTTCAAATCCTTATTAGTCAATTTATTAAGTTTTGTTATTATATATTATCAACGTGTTACCCATTCGGTGCAACCAAATATTAAGTTAATTCGATTCTGTCCAAATTGTTGCCCGGATGTCACCCGAATTGGAGATTTGGAGTTAAAATCACTCAACTTGGCTATTAAGGTTTGGTAACTTTTACTGCGTTTAGGATAATATAATTGATGGTAAAGAACTTACGAACGTAAAACGAAAAGAATTTACTGATATCAACAATATATTTCTTTGACTGGCTCCTGAGAGCAAAAGAAACAGTGATTTACTCTGTCACTTTTCCCCTGTTATATATGGCCGGTTAAAAAAAAAAAAAGAAATTTGCGCACTGTAATTAGTTACTTACCGCGCAACCCATGGCGAAGGTACCACAGACGGCGACCATGGTGCTAAACACGACCATCGGAGTCATGCCGCCGCCACCACTACAGCTCGCCGGAGACTCGCCGCAGTACGCCGCCGGCGATGATGATGGTTCATCATTGTTGTAGCCGGGCTTCAAATCGACGACGACAGACCTCGGCGGAAGTAGCTTCTCCTCCAAATCATTATTCCTTTCTCCCTCCATCGTGAGTATATGTGAAATTCGATTGATTCTTTCGGGCAGAAGTGGAAAGAAACAGAAATTATATAATATAATGGGGAAACTGAAAGAAAGAAAGAAACAGAGAGCAACGGATTTTTTGGTGGGGTTTTGTTGTTCTTGATGAGATGGGGAGGTTGAATTAAGTGATGATCAAGCACCACCTAACTAGAAAGCAGAATGGGTCTCTGCTATTTATAGCCCATCAATTGCTACATTATTTACACCCACTTTTGCAAGCAACTTGATATCACCATTATTTTTTTGGTATTTTATAAAGCCCGCATTTGGAATGAATCCATAGATCAAGGTATTTGTGTTTAGCAATGCCATTTTTTTATTTATTATTATTATTATTATTATTATTATTATTATTATTATTATTATATATTTTGATGAGAAAAAGGTTGGTCATTGCTAATAGGTGAGACAAAACCTGGTTTGTGTGCTTTTATCATATAAACGGTATTGATATTCTCTCTGTATTTGAAAGTTGTAGATAAGGTCCATCTTAAAAATAAAATGGGATCGGAATTAGCATTGGTAAGTTTGTATTTTTTATTCTCCTTTATATAATTTCATTTTAGGAGAAGAAGATGAGTTTACTACGCCATGGAAACTTGATTACTCCATACGCTAAAAGCTAAGATTAAATAAATTATTAACATTGTAATATCAGGTGAAACAACTTAAAGTATTTTTTATATTAGGGGAATAGTTTAGGATTCTCAACTTTGTCTTTTGTTTTTCTTGTTGATCATCCCAAATCATATAATATTGAATTTATTTTTACGATGGACATTTTTAAAATAAGAAACAAAACTCATAGCTAAGCTACCTGCCGGTTTGCAAGCAGTTTCATAGTCTTTATACGACTTGGCCAAACCAGGTAACCTGGTCCCGGCAGTTTTTCCAATTTCATGAATTGGTCCCTAGTTTTTCTCCTAATAGCCAAACTGAATATTTTAGTTATTTAAACTACTATTGCATTCCTGATGATGAATCGTAAAAGTATAAAACTAAGAGAATCAAATTGCACACTGAAATTTTAAGTAATTTGTTTTATATATAAAATTCATTTGTTCTTTGAGTTCATCTTTCCATATATTTTTGCGGATTTAGTAATATCTGGTTACTCGCCCTAATTGTGTTTTGTATGAGCATATACTAGGGATGACAATTTCAACCTGACCCGTTTTATCTTTGACTTCATCTTTCCATAAAAACCCCTTTAATCTCACTAATTTTTCTACGAGCATAGACTAGGGATGACAATTTCGCCCTAACCCGTTTTACTCGACCTGTGTGGCCTATTTTGGGGTGGACATGGGTACTCTCATCGATCCGACCTGTCCTGACCTGCCACATTCTCGACCCGTTTTTGCCTAAATTACATTTAATCTGAGTCAAATTACTTAGAATTTTTCTTTTATTACATCATAATTTAGCTATAATAAAGTTGTAAATTAGTGAAAACCTCAATTTCTCTAACAATTTAACTACATTTATCATAATATTGTTAGTTTTCTTGGTCTTATAATAAAAATAACGAATATTTCTAATGTTTTTCATATAAATTGGGAAAAAATCCCAAAGTACACTAGTTCTTAAAAAAAATTCCCAAAATACATAAGTTATAAAAAAAATTCCAAAAGTACACATGTTTGAGCATCACCGTTTTAGACAAAAGCGGTGAAGGTCATCACCGCTTTTGACTAAAACGGTGATGTATTCACCGTTTTTGACTAAAACGGTGATGTATTCACCGTTTTAGTTTGAAACGGTGATTGCATCACCGCGTGAGAGAAAAACGGTGAAGCACTGAACTGCGTCCAAACTTTAAAACAACGTAACTTTGTGCTCGGTTATCCGATCGTAGCGAAATTTTTTTTGATTCCGCATAATTTTTCGAGATCTTGCAAGCCGCAAACCGCCGGAGGCGGTTTGGTCCCGCCTTCATCTCGAAAAAATGTCGTTTGCTACCCCGAACGACCCTTTTTTCGATTTCGTCAAACTTTGAACGACCATAACTTTGTGCTCCACAATCCAAAAATCATGAATTTTTTTTGATTCCGCATAACTTTTTAAGGACTACAATTTTTATCATAGACATAATTTCGGAATGCACTTGGATTCATGAAAAGGGAAGGTAAAGTTATTCCCAAAACCCCTTATATCCATAAATAATTCATTTTTTGAAAATTCTCTCCTACTAAAAATTGTAGTCCTTAAAAAGTTATGCGGAATCAAAAAAAAATTCATGATTTTTGGATTGTGGAGCACAAAGTTATGGTCGTTCAAAGTTTGACGAAATCGAAAAAAGGGTCGTTCGGGGTAGCAAACGACATTTTTTCGAGACGAAGGCGGGACCAAACCGCCTCCGGCGGTTTGCGGCTTGCAAGATCTCGAAAAATTATGCGGAATCAAAAAAAAATTCGCTACGATCGGATAACCGAGCACAAAGTTACGTTGTTTTAAAGTTTGGACGCAGTTCAGTGCTTCACCGTTTTGCTCTCACGCGGTGAAGCAATCACCGTTTTGCTCTCCCACGGTGAAGCAGTCACCGTTTTGCTCTCCCACGGTGAAGCAATCACCGTTTTGCTCTCACGCGGTGAAGCAATCACCGCCCTTCTCTGACGCGGTGAAGGCCCAAACATGTGTAGATTGGGAATTATTTTCATAACATGTGTATTTTGAGAATTTTTTTTAAAAACATGTGTAACTTGGGATTTTTTCCTATAAATTGCATACCATTGAGTCGACCTGTCTCAACCTACGACCCGTGATAAATTACCCGATCTGAATCCGACCTACCATGAAACGAGTCTGAATACCAAGAAACTCGCCCTGGACCTGCACCATTGTCATTCCTAGCATAGACTCTAATTTGCTGAAACTACGATAAACTTAATAATCTGATGGGTATTTCATCATGGTGGTATTTTGTTTTGTATAGCGAAGACAGTGGGACCCCGAAGAGAATGTCTGGTCCAATGGTACTTAAGACCGCAATCAAGCAAGGCATACAGCTACTAGCTAGCTTAGCTTAGCTATGTGGTTTCTTGTTGAACACCCTTTTGACAAACACGTCCTCCATATATTGGGGGTTTCTTCGAAGCAACGCTAATTGCGTCTATTCACAAGAGAGATTAACAACAATGATCTTATTGCGTGTACGGTTTTATGTATGGTTTTCTGGGGGTTGGTCGATTAATCAATTTTTATTATAATAATAGTTGCAAATTATTTATATAATATATGGGTTACTGCGAGCAAGGAACCCTGTTGAAGACTAGCTAGGTTTATTCTTGATTTATATTTGTTTGTTGAACACCTTTCAATTTTATAATAAAAAACTTGACGAGGTAATACATTCGATTTTTTTTTATTTTTTATGAACTGGTTACTTTAGTCCAGCGGATAAGTTGTCTTTTGTTATATAGGAGGTTGTGGGTTCAATACCCATCAAAAACTCCTTTTTTACTACTACTTGTCTTTTAAGTTGATTTTTCATACTTGCATATCTAATTTAACTTCAAACTAGGTAAATTTAATTGAACTTATACATTTATATCTTCAAAGATAATTTTAAATATATAGCAAATAATTCAATTATTTTCTCATTTTTTATAGACATTCATTTGTTACTTATCATAAATTGAAGAACATGGTGCATTAACTACTTGTCTTTTAAGTTGATTTTTCATACTTTCATACGTAATTTAACTTCAAACTAGGTAAATTTAATTGAACTTATACAATTATATCTTCAAATATAATTTTAAATATATAGCAAATAATTCAATTATTTCCCCATTTTTATAGACATTCATTTGTTACTTATCATAAATTGAAGAACATGGTGCATTATGTTTTTTTTAAATTTATTTAATAATTTTGAACATGTCGTTGATACATTTTTTAATTTAAATCATACTTTTAGTGCTTATAATTATCTTAAATAACATATTGTGGGGTGACATTAATATATTTTTTTTACGATAATAAAATTTTTGGCCCCCCGAACTTAAAATCCTGGCTCCGCCCCTGTGTCAGCTTGTATCACTATATCGTTAAAATTATGGACGGAATGACTATTTTAGTGTATTTTTCAAAATTTGGCTATATTTGTCACAAAGTGCAAAATTATGGCTATCCATGTGTATTTTACTTAAATTTTATAATAAACATTTTGACGAGGTATTATGCATTCGGTTTTAGAAAGATGACTAAATTAATTAATTTAAGAAAATGAATATCTTATTTTCACTCTCAACGTGAGAATATGATATCTTACATGCTAACATGCAATTAAAGCAAACTAACCTCGATTTATAAATCCACCAGACCAAACACACCCTTAACTTTGGTCGGTTCCTTTAGTAAGAAGAAACATCTGATACCAAAGTAAAGTTCATAGTCCAAATTTGATGACCATGGCGCCCTTTTGTGTGTGCTTTTCCTTTTTTTTTTTTTAATTAGAAGGCGCAAGCATTATGAAAGAAAACATTTTACCCATATACATGCATAATTAAAAGTACGAGTTTCGGGGAGCATAACATGGAAAAGAGGAGAAATTAAAGCTGATAAAGCAGGCTAGTTAAATCGGATCAAACCAGATTTAATCGAAGTTGATTATTCAATCGGATCCTACTTTTTTGGTTTTTAGATTGAAAATAGCCAGTGAAATCAAGTTAAATTTGGCCAATTTTAATGGTTTAACATAATGATTAAAATCATCCAAAAAAAATTCTTCATCTTTCACCGCAATTGTGAATCAAACGAATTGACCAAGATTTGCCGATTGAATTTTGACCTACTTAGTACTTACTTGGCCAAGTTAATGGCTCAACCCAGACTGGCCACCTTCCTCCAAGGAGACATGTAAATATGAGGAGGACAATCAAATAAAGAGAGAAACGGAGACAAAAGGAAAAGATTAGAAATAAAAATAAAAAAAAAGGCTAAAGGTAATTATTCCCCTATTCCGTTCGTATATTATTTAAGCCCAACTTTTGATATCTAAATGAGCATCTTTAACTCTGTAAATTAAAGCTTACTCTAATTACTTGGTTGAAGGAAATATTATGGTCATGCTAGTACTTTTATATATATATATATATGGGGAGTTCTACTGTACCCAAAATGAAATTCAGGGTACCACATACATTGAGTATGAAAACGCTATCTAGACCGTGAATTAATTGAATTTTCGGACATGATATATGAAGAGTTTTACGGTAC